AGAAATATCTTTTATCCTGAACCAAATCAGCCATATTTAAAAATGTCAAATTAATATCACAGCAGGCGCTAGACATCATTTAACATTTTCGACTGACAAGTGACACAAACTCCTTAACCTTGATGACAGATGTATCCAAGTCTCTTGATATCTTTGACACAATTGGTTTCGTACCACAGAAGATTTAGATATAAATATATGCATCAGAAATGCAACTTTTGCCAAAACTTACCTGAGAGAAGTGCACACCTTATCAGGTCAATAGATATACTCAATGTAATCTCCACCAAATGACCTGAATTGGTCAACAGACATTAATGGAGTTTTAGCCAGGTGATTTCTATTGGTCAGGTTGATGTACATTATCAATATCCATTAAACCAGGCAAGGCAATTTCAATAATGTGATTGAGGATTCAATGTCCAGCTCTTTTTGTCCAGCAATGCACACACCATGGAGCCCTATATATAACCACAGGTATTGCCCCAAATACAATCACACAATCACTTTTAACAATTATTGAAAGTTGATAGAAAGCCCTGCTTAAGTGGTCATCCACCATGAAAACACAATCAACACTTGAGACAAGTCTTTTGACCCTGCCCAGGTCACTACTGTAGTAAACACCAGAAACTATCGCTAAATATAGATTTCCTTTTTATTTGTTAGGATTATGAATGAATAATTTTTATATTTATCCTTTTAAAATCTTTATTTTCATGACTTATAATAATATCTTTGAATATTTCTGAATTTAGTTATTATGTCAAACGATATATCTTCATCCTTTCGACAGCTTCTAAATAGAAATGAGTCATATCTACCGTAATTTAGTGATATCAAGGACTTCTGCTATAAGGATACAGCTAATTTTAAATTCATCACCATCCATGTGAATAAATTAAGGCTATTATAGTTACACATCGACTACAGACCTTATTTATACTAAGGTATTCAGCTTGGTCAAACAGCTGTCATTACATTATCTTGCTCCCAATTGTCCAACACTTTAATCAGATTATCTCTGACCATCCATTCTATTTATGTGTAAGAAACACCTATAAATATCTCTAAAAATAGTCTGGGGAAAACAGACTTGAGTGAAATACTGATGGGGGTTCTTTGAGTACATTTTGATAGGTAAACACTCCTAAATAAAAGTAGGGGAAGAGACCCAGCTATAAAACCTGTCTAAAACTGAATACATCTGAAGATTATATCTTTCTCTTCAGAATTTCACAATTTTCCGTCATTGTACCGACTGTCTATGTGATGTCGCAGCTGAGCGATTGACGGTCAACTATTATACATGTTTTATAGCTACATTCACCTCATGGATGACCAGTTCATAGCCAATGAATAATCCTTTAATTAGAACCAAGAGATGGAGATAAATGCTTGGCTATATATGATCAGGAAATCGTGGAGTGCAAGTTAATGATCAAAGGGTCAAGTCTCCAGTAAGACTGACTGGCCTCCACAAGGACGTTGGTCGAAAGTCTGGACAGTCAATTAGAAAGGGACTGTTAATGATGTCATTTTACTATATAAACCTTTTAACAAATGGTGTTTCACAAATTTAAGGAAACTGCTTTGCTTATAGGTACAAACTTTTGCCAGTGCTTCAAATGTATACAGACACGCTCCAGATTTAAAAGTGACATAAAGAAAAATTGCGACATAATTTAGAAATTGTATCCTCAAGTTATGAACATTTAAACTTTAAAGTAACCACCAATTTATTATGTTTTACATTTGCCAAATCTTGGTTTTATTTTACAAATTCAATAAATTAGTGACAGTTCAAGGTTAGAAGGTATAGACAACCTAATGTGTTACCTGACACAGGTAAATAAACAACTAGTATGAATTACAGACTAACATTACCTGTCCAGGTAGGTAGTAAGACTGATGACCATATGGTAAACTACACCTTGATCCCTAGAAACTAATTTAGATCCTATACAGGTGTGAACTCTACCTGACCACAACCAATTTCCTCAGGTAACAGATTGGTAAGTGTTGTTGATGATCCACCTGAGCCAAATTTTAAGAATGTTCCTTCAGTTGTTAAGGAAATACCTGATCTGAAATTTGTTCACAGGAAAGCAGCATTGGAGTAAAGCAAATAGATATGTCTTTTGGCTTCCTATGGGAAATTTTATGGCGAAATTATTTAAATAAAGAATCTTTCAACAGAAACTGGTACTGTATATTAATATACTGTAGTTTTTATAAGATGACCAGAAGAAACAACAGACTGCAGAAAAATCTGTTCTTTAAAACTTCCTATTAAAAAGACCATTTGAATTGATTTTACAATTAATTGAAACAATCTTAGACAACATGATCGTATAAGAAACATGCTGATATTCTTAACAAACTAACAACTAGAAACTTTGAAATTTTATTAAAAGGTTTAAAAGCAGTATGTGGTAAAAAGCAATTGACCAATGTACACTAATATTCCTAAAGATTGACTGTGGTCAATTGACCAATGTATAAAAGATTGACCAGAATAGTGTGATGATCTCCCTACAAAGGTACACGTGTCTGGGCGGCGTCACCAAAACATTCCTCACGAGAATCATCACAGATATCATATTAATGAGTATTGGGGTAACAGCTAACAGGGCAACTGGTATCAGGTATAATCTAACAAGGCAACTCATATCTGGTAACAGCTAACAGGGCAACTGGTATCAGGTATAATCTAACAAGGCAACTCATATCTGGTAACAGCTAACAGGGCAACTGGTATCAGGTATAATCTAACAAGGCAACTCATATCTGGTAACAGCTAACAGGGCAACTGGTATCAGGTATAATCTAACAAGGCAACTCATATCTGGGTAACATCTAACAGGGCAACTCGCATCAGGGGAAAACCTAATAGTGCAACTGTTTTCAGGTATTACCACAGCCATGAAACCTGACAAGATTCTAAAATGTCCTTGTCCATTCTGATGATAAAACACCAAAAGAAACATCACTGAATATGTATACAAGAATGGATGCAAGAACTGTGATGCACCATATATCAGATAAATGGGCAGGAGATTTGGGGTTTGTCTTAATGAACTTCATAAAGACATTGAATCTCAACAAGGCATGATTTTCGTCAGATCAGTGCAAAACCATTCTCAGTCCCTGATCAATAAATTGGTATTTTACATATCACTTGTCACAGCAAATAATATCAACAACCATCTAGTCACACTATTTTCTACCCAGGTGTACACAAGATTATAGTAAAGCCAAAAATTATGGTTCATTTTGTACCACATACGTCAGCGCTAATATGCTTCACATTGGTCGTGTGTCTGATGAAGATGACAGAAATAACACTGAAATATCATAATTAAATTTTATACTGGTTGTTCTACCAGAACTTTCATTCTACTGAAACTGTAGAATGTCTGCTAAAAAAAAGGGGGAAAAACACTTATGCTTGGGTAACATAGTACCAAGGTAATAGATAGCAAAGTAACACAGGTAACAGGGCAACAGGATAAGGGGTAACATAGAAACTCAGGTAACAGGGCAACAAGGTAAGGTGTAACACAAAAACTCAGGTAACAGGGCAAAAAGATAAGGTGTAACACAGACACTCAGGTAACAGGGCAAAAAGGTAAGGGATACACAGTAACTCAGGTAACAGGGCAACAAGGTAAGGGGTAACATAGAAACTCAGGTAACAGGGCAACAAGGTAAGGTGTAACACAGAAACTTAGGTAACAAGGAAACAAGGTAAGGTGTAACACAGAGACTCAGGTAACAGCACAACAAGGTAAGGGATAACACAGTAACTCAGCTAACAGGGCAACAAGGTAAGGGGTATCACAGTAACTCAGCTAACAGGGCAACAAGGTAAGGCGTAACACAAAAACTCAGGTAACAGGGCAAAAAGGTAAGGTGTAACACAGACACTCAGGTAACAGGGCAAAAAGGTAAGGGATACACAGTAACTCAGGTAACAGGGCAACAAGGTAAGGTGTAACACAGAAACTCAGGTAACAGGGCAACAAGGTAAGGGGTAATATGGTATTAGGCTAACAGGTATCAGGGTAATAGGGTAACAGGGTAACAGGGTATCAGGGTAACAGGGTATCGGGGTAACATGTATTAGGGTAACAGGGTATCCGTGTAACAGGGTATCAGGTTACATGTATCAGGGTAACAGGTATCAGGGTAACATGTATTAGGGTAACATGTATTAGGGTAACAGGGTATCCGTGTAACAGGTTATCAGGGTAACATGTATCAGGGTAACAGGTATCAGGGTAACATGTATTAGGGTAACATGTATTAGGGTAACAGGGTATCCGTGTAACAGGGTATCAGGGTAACATGTATCAGAGTAACAGATATCAGGGTAACATGTATCTGGGTAACATGGTATCAGGTTACATGTATCAGGGTAACAGGTATCAGGGTAACATGTATTAGGGTAACATGTATTAGGGTAACAGGGTATCCGTGTAACAGGTTATCAGGGTAACATGTATCAGGGTAACAGGTATCAGGGTAACAAGTATTAGGGTAACAGGTATCAGGGTAACAGGTATCAGGGTAACAGATATCACACTAACAGGGTATCACAGTAACAAGGTAAGATGTATCATGGTGAATAGAGATACTACTACTACAGAAAAACAATAAATCACATAAATAGTAAATGGCAGCTTGCATGTGAAACAGCTGCAGGTGTATACCACAGGACAAGGTTTGATGACAATATATTTCATATTATCATTTATCATGCATCATCTTGCTTAAGGAGAAGTATTTTTAATGTAAAGGGACATAACTACATGAGAAGGGTTGTGAGTAACAGGAGGAACAATCCAGCGTCTGGAAATTACAAGGAGGAAGAACATTACCCCATGTTAGACAACATTATACACACTTCTGAACTATGATTCATTATGTCCTTATATACATATCATTATACATATTATGTATCTCAGAATTGAAGAATAAAAGTTGTCTGCCCTTACCTTGGACATCAACATGGCACTGATAGACAGAATCGGTTCTATACCCATGAACAGGATTCGATGATCCTCTGATGTCAGAGAGGAAAACTTCCTGTAACATCAAACATATGTTATCACCTTGTCATATCTTAAACTGTTTTCATAGCCCATTTTCTTTCTTTATTGCAGTTACGATACTCACACACATAAATATTGAATTTTGTGAGTTTGGTTTGGCATGAAAGTAATTTCTCATTTAAAAATGAGAAAATAGATAATCTAACCAGACAGAAGTGTTATGAATTAAAAATAGTTTCAAAACATGATTTAAAGAAGATCCATAACAAACAGATTCCTTGTTAAAAACAGAATATAAATGACAGTTCAGTCAGTAAGTCTACAACCTTATGAATACAGCAATTGCTAATTTAAACAAATAATCTTCATTTTTTTTCCATTGGACATTTATGGACATCAACACAACTTGTCAGTTTATGTATCATGATATGAGAGCTGTCTTTAAAAGACTGGTCACACCAAGCTGTTTATATAACTTACACAAAAATTACACCAAAAAAAAAATTGTCTAAATCTTTTCAAAAACAGTCAAAGGTAGATAACTCCTACAATACTACTAGTACTACCACCACTGTACCTTAGGGGCTCTGCATATACATCCAGAACACTTCTCAGCTGTGTACAATACACATGCTCCGTGGTGAGGAGTTCCTGGACAAGGTCTAATCGTCCATCTGTAACATACATAATCTATCTGAATACAAAGGAAATTAAAATCATTATGCATTAATTACTTATTCTTTATATTTTCGTAACTTTTTGTAACAACATCTATCAAACATACTAATAAGGTTTGATGATTCAAAACTGATTTTCATATCAAAAGAATTAGTGACTTATAGCTAAAGAACAAATAACTACGAACTACAGTCTGCCAGAAATCCTTAGTTCGAATCCTAGTCTAGCCCCATGTATCCTCATGTCAAATGGATGCTAATCCTCACTATGTAGGAGGGAGACTCTCGAGATTGGACCTCTAATTTTGCTATTTACAACAATGAAATTTGCTTTATCATTCTTATATTCCAAGATCCAATGATTTCATTTGAATGAACAACAAGAAAGATTTACAATTTACAAGTGTTATTTATTTACTGAAGCATATATCTTATTTGTTTTTCCTTTTGGTGCACATGAAATCACCCCCATGGAAGTTGTCCAGTGTACAGTATTATCAAGAAAGCAAACCAACATAATAATTTACTGTTCGTGTTTAAATCAGAAAAAAAGGTTCTTGGAGACAAGATGGAAACAGAGGGGCCTCATGGCCTTACAATGTATACAGTTCAATTTGGCATGGTTTATGTAGCAAATGCCAAGTACTTCTCCCTACACAATGATACTGTAGATAAACATCCCCCAATGTGACCTTCACTTATAAAACATATTTTAGGCTTAATGGAACTTACAATAACACATCAATATCAAACCTCCCATTACCCATAACACCAGTCTAGATAGTGGACCATTCAGGGCAGGTAACTCTGCTCATCCACCTACACATCATTACCAACTTGTCTCTAAAGCTGGCTCTCCTCCAGTCACCAGTACATGTACTTTAATACCTGTACAGAGGCCAATTGTCAAATATTCGCTAATGTAAACAATGTGCTGGAAATAGAAACAAACACCTCCTTACTGAGAGCCAATTACCTTCACCATTAACCAGTTGGAGATATTGGAGGGGTTAATCATAGTAACACCCTCCTCCCAACCTCCTCGAGAACTCCAGCTTATATTGATGCTACTTATCTCTTGTTTACAGCATGTCTGTCCAATGCATTCCATTATAATTCTTGTAAAAGTATCTGATCAACAGATGGTGCCTATCAGGAGCTTTCTATAAGCACTTTCCATCAACAACATCTAGTGAGGTTCAGTTCACCGAGAAAAAGTCATTTACGAGGTGATATTGGCCATATACCTTCACAGTGTTAAATTAGTAAACATTTATAGAAGATTTTTATGTACTTTCTATCCAATGATTAGCATTATGTAGAAGGGTAAATAAAGGGTTTTTACAGAGTTAAATAATAGACCCATCTCTTTTTCCTCTAATACTAAATTATGTAAGGGTTATTTCAACATTTAAGGCTAAAAGACTTAACCTGAATTTTGAATATAAATTTCTTCAGAAGATTTTTTTTTTTCAAATGGGAAAGATTCTTCATATTTATTGCATCATCAGCAATTACAAATCTATTGATATATATATCATTTGTATTTGTAGAATAATTTGAATAAAATGAGTTCACATATAATTTCAGGTCATATCTAAATTGAAAAAAGAAAGAAGTTGTAGCTTTGACTCCTGCCAACAGATTGGATCATACAAATGGATTAATACACGTCCGTTGCTACTAGAGATATATACACCATACAAATCATACAACAGCTATAGATAGGGCAAACAAATATGTTATCTCTGTATGATGCTGACAGAACTGGAAGGTAAGATTTTCAAAGTTTAAAAGCTTCATCCCAAATTTTGATATCTCTCTACATCTCACAAAGGTGATCAATAAATATTCCCCTACACTTCCCAATGGTTAAATAAGGTTGGTTGTTGTGGTGAACTGAAAACATAACAACATGACCTTAACAGTGATAGAAACTTGATGACAATTTCTAATGAGTGGTGACCTTTTCATAAAAAAAGATGTGTGAGCTGTGTTTTCTGCACCTGTTAAGTGTGGGAAAATCCATGTTTGTTATAAACAGATGACCTTTTCCAAACGTTTATTCTGGTTTCTTACCTGTGGAAGGCTCCTCAAACTCTTCTCCCAGGATCAGTTCCTCAAACACATCTTCCAGAGTGCGGTCTAATCCTGGGGATCCACAACTGCCTGTTCCCTCGGACCTCAGGACGGCCCTTGTGGAATCCATGATGAGGCGGTAGCTGTTGATCCGGTGGTCCATGGTAGCATGGAATAGCATGTCCCTTAGCCCGGATCCATCCTCACAGCTCAACTACAATACACAACATGTTAAGAACCATCAAACCAGGAATAACATATCTTTTGAATCAAATCCCTCCCTACAAAACATACAATAATGAGCTATCCTCCACCACAGGAAAGTCCACCTGAGACAGGTGACCACTACTGTATGGAGATATCATAAGTCTCCTTATCCTGTGGCTGCAATATCATAAATGAATCAATTCGTTATGATGATGATGAATTGACGTTAAAACTTCCAATGGTTACATTATGTCACTATGGAAACCATACAAATATAACACCTAAACACATGTTTTCTGCTGCAAAAAATACTGGATCACATGATAATGAGAATTTGTTTCAATTTCTTAAAGTACAGCAGTAAAAGTTTGAATTGATAGAAATAATAACAGTGATTGTCATACTTACATGGATACAGCCTAGTTTATATTACTGTGGTGTGTATATAACTGCTGACTTATCTCAATTTTCCTGCAATCCTACCAATGCTTGTCATTTCTGATATACAGATATTTGATGTGTGATTACTTGTCAGATATAGAACTATACTGATGTAACATTGGTGTTGGGATTATCATAACTGTGTTTGGTTGACTAGACAACCACTCTATAGCACAACATTACATAAACTGTGGACACTGCATTATCATATTATTCATGGACTGACCATAAACTGGCCAATAAACCTGTACTGTGGTCAGTATGATACTTTCATCCCACCCCTTACCCCCACCTTATCCAAACACTGACAGACCTATCTGTAGAGCACTGAAACATGTACAACAGTTAAAATCATTATTTTATAGCAGGTAAACCGTAGCAAGAATGTTATTTGATAACATCCATATTTACCTGCAATATGGTGTCAAATTAAATCATATGCATATGTATTGACATGAATGTCAAAAGGACCATTTAATCAAAAGGACCATTTAATCAAAAGGACCATTTAATCAAAAGGACCATTTAATCATTAATCTTTTACAGTAGTTGTATATTATATCGTACATTTCATATCGTTCACTTACATATGTAACTCTGATCATTACCTTCCATAAGGTACGTGTCTACCAGAAAGGTATAATTGTAAATAGAATAAAGAATGCATTTGCCATTAAGATCAGGTGTTCAGCCTTCAGGATAAGCACTATCAATTAATGAATGTAGAACAAAATATAATTCAAAAGAAAATCTAATGAATAAAAATGTTTATGTTACATTTTACTGATCTGGATATCACTGAAGAGGGTTATCTCCCTTCTAATCAAATTCAGCTAATTTGGTTGTTTTTTTTTTTATTTAGCTAATGAATTCTCTAATTGAATTAATTATTTAAAGAGTAGTATTTCAATATCATACTGAGTTAGATTTGATTTTAATTCTTTAAGAGAATTACATTACTATGCAAAATCCTTTGACCAATCACTCGGTCACGTAAGTATACAGCCAATCTGACTCAAAATTAATCATTTATACAAAATTTCACAATCTGATTCTATTCAACTAAGTTAATATACCAATGACTGGATGTACTGATATTTACTATATGGAGTTCACATTCTCTGATTACCCTAATTATGAAGAGTAAAATATGATACTGATCTCAAATGTAAATTTATATAACTTCTGAGTTTTATAATACCAGGTGTTCTTCAACCATTACACCATCTAAAATTCATATAAGTTTGTGACCTTAGTTCTTCAACACTAAGGAAATAATATACATCTTAAACGTCAAAAACAAAATATTATATTTCAGTACATAAATCAAATTGTTTTAAAATTGATTCTTGAAAAAAAGCAAACCAATGTCATTTGTCATATCATTAATAATAAAATGAATCTTTCAAATTTGTTAATGAAACACTATACCAGGTTTCAAATTTTAAAGGCATGTTCCGTACTGACAATTTTTGTTCTCCTGTAACCTAACTATCAAAGTGCAGCTGCCTGTGTCCAGGTGCAAAACAATGGATACTTGATTCCTTTAGTAAACAAAGGTATGCTGCTCACTTTCACAGGTAAACAGGTATAATGTAAATACCTACATAAGTCTATAGTCATCTCTTGTAACAGTCATGTTTGAAATGAGACTCCTAAAATCCTACTAATACGGATTACATATGAAAAAGTCTGAACTTGACATTATACAGCACGTCCACTCTCTATATATACTACAGCATATGAAATCCACAGTGAGGTAATCATAAGTTTGTTAAAACAAAAACAACACCAATCTGTAGGAGGTTTTAAACTCTTAACAACATAACAAATGTCTAGCCATTTCTAATTGTTTATATCATATGATTTCATCAGTGGTGTTACCAACACAAAGGATATCAACACAGGTTAATATATAGAAAATGTCCAGTCTATTAAATCAGACTTAATCTCCTACACACTTCCAATCCCTCACTTATAATTCTACACAATAAGTCATCAGAAACGTCCAGAACAAAGATGACCATTACAAAGGGTTTTTATGGGTACAATGCGAAAGTAAAATTATCACAGCTCTGAACTAAAGTCATCATGATAAATTAAACAACAAAAAGGCCCAACAGACCTGTATTGTCCATCTGTGATTGTTGTTACTATCTTATATCAATCTAGCTTACACTAAAAAAACATGGATCATTCTTTCCCACCTTACAGGTCTTTGTTGAATAAGATATCCTGAAGGGATCTTGGTGCCCAACATTAAATGTATCTTGCTTTGCTCTTCATCAGTTGATCTTTTCTTTTCTTTGCTCTTAATAACATGATATTTGGTCAAACCTCTCAAGAAATCTTGATGATAATGTTTTAACTGTCAAATCCAAGATGGTAACTTGTCAGCCATTTTGTTTTCCTGATCAGTTCCAAAATGGAACATCACTAGTGACAAAGTGAAAACATACAAGTAAAATTTGATAATGATCAACACAGAACTTTCTGATAATGAAAATTCACTGTCAAAATCAAAGATGACTGCAAACCAGCCATTTTTATCATTCTCAAAACTGACAGTGCAATGATAGGGACAAGGAAGACCTGCATATGAAAATCTGAGAATGATCCATCAAATAATTTCCTATACTTTTACAAACTTCTGTCTGCTGACAAATTTGTTTTCCTGATTAATCTCTGAAATGACACGGCACCACTACCCAGTTTCAGAACAAACCATACACTACTTCTCAAGAACAAGTAATAACAAAAAGGATGGTATAACACAGACTAATCCCTGATCATTTCTAACTAAATCTTTTAAGGGTTTAATGAGTTATTTTGTGAAGTATTTCACCTCAAAATGATCAAGGATGACCTTTGACCTTTTATCAAAATTTAATCATATGTTTGAACTTTCTTGTGCGAGTATGAACTATTCAAAGCCTGTCCAACAGTTCGTGAGCAGGTCATGTTATCTTCAAGCGATTCAAGGTCATTTTGGTCATATCTATCCTATAAAAGTGAAGACTTGGATATCAGAAAAAACAGACATTGGCCACAGAACCCTGTAATATCTAAAATTTGTATAACTCTATCAGTGATCAGTTATAGAAACAGACATTGGCCACAGAACCCTGTAATATCTATAATTTGTATAACTCTATCAGTTATAGAAACAGACCTTGGCCACAGAACCCTGTAATATCTAAAATTTGTATAACTCTATCAGTGATCAGTTATAGAAACAGACATTGGCCACAGAACCCTGTAATATCTATAATTTGTATAACTCTATCAATGATCAGTTATAGAAACAGACATTGGCCACAGAACCCTGTAATATCTATAATTTGTATAACTCTATCAGTGATCAGTTATAGAAACAGACATTGGCCACAGAACCCTGTAATATCTAAAATTTGTATAACTCTATCAGTGATCAGTTATAGAAACAGACATTGGCCACAGAACCCTGTAATATCTAAAATTTGTATAACTCTATCAGTGATCAGTTATAGAAACAGACATTGGCCACAGAACCCTGTAATATCTAAAATTTGTATAACTCTATCAGTGATCAGTTATATCTATAATTTGTAAACTCTAGTTATAGAAACAGACATTGGCCACAGAACCCTGTAATATTTAAAATTTGTATAACTCTATCAGTGATCAGTTATAGAAACAGACATTGGCCACAGAACCCTGTAATATCTAAAATTTGTATAACTCTATCAGTTATAGAAACAGACATTGGCCACAGAACCCTGTAATATCTAAAATTTGTATAACTCTATCAGTGATCAGTTATAGAAACAGACATTGGCCACAGAACCCTGTAATATCTACTAAAATTTGTATAACTCTATCAGTGATCAGTTATAGAAACAGACCTTGGCCACAGAACCCTGTAATATCTAAAATTTGTATAACTCTACCAGATGTTAAGTCATTAGAGTGATGACATTGAATGATATTGTCCTTGAAACCTGAAAATGACTCCATTTTGCCATTAGATTAGACACAGTTGGACTCAGGTTGTGCTTCATATTTTTTTTAATAAATAATTTTCCATTTAGTGAGAGTTCAAACCATTCCTATTCTTGTTTCATTTACAATTCTAATTGTTCATGCAGGTTGTAAACGACCAAGCGATTGATACCACCAAAACACATACATATCCTAACAAGCCTTGATTCAGTGTGATTTGTTTTATGTCTCATGTTGTTACATCGTGCTCCCACCAGCTGACACAACTTGAGGCTCCAACCCAGAATTATTAGCGACCAGAATATGGAGCATAAAATGTTGGCATGTGTATTGTCAAAGAACAACCGTGTTTCGCTACACATTTTGGTAAAATCATCACACCAAGAAAATCCCTGTTTATTATGTCAAACAAATCATTTTAGGAATCATAGATATGTTTAAAAAACACCAATGAGATGATTTTGATGAAAATTAATCTGTAATCATAAATCTCATCTTACACTGCATATACTGATATATGAATGCTAACTTCAGCCAATGTACAAGCAGACATGGTTTTTTCAAGCTTACATGGATTCTTCATCGCAGTATCTAAGGATGTAAAAAACCTGTCATTTTTTACCAATCTGTTAACATGAAAGAATTTAAAAGACGATCATGTTATAAACGACATCTTTTGTCAATATCACAACCATTGTCTTTGCTGACCTGTAGTTTCCTACATACTAGGATGATTCTAAAAGCTTTATCATGATTTTGGGCAATGTCAACTTTGATATTCCAAACTTAAATTTATTTTTTCATAATTTGAAGGACTTCAACAATATTGGACAGACAAAAGGTTTGCGGTAGATAAACTGGTGATTTTACATCACACTAACACATAATATGAAATAGCAGAGTGTACTTTCTGATATGGTTTGAACCAGAAACACCAGTTCATGGGTAGAAAGTTCCATGGGTACCACATTACCACACACATGATTCTTCCAACTGAAGTCTTTTTGTGGCATCTTATCATCCTGTCTATAGCTACAGAAGTAACAGTGAGCCAATGTTTTATGTTATACAATAATTGAATGCTATAAGAAATGGTTCTGTATCTCTAAAGAACTACAAGTTCCTATCTAGCTTTCATCTTATAAGTTATCAAATAGGTTTGTGAATTGATCAAGATAACACAAAAGATGAACTGTTCTGAAGGTCATGCAGGAAAACTTACATTATCAACTGTAGTAGTTCTTGAACCTGTTGTTTGCTTCCTCAAGGACGCTTTACGGAAAACACTTCTGGAACTCATTTTAGGAATATTAAGAAACTTAGAAAGACATAGTGAAAAGTGTGTAAGCTTTGACCATCCAGTTACAAAATAGTAGATTGGGTAATTACCTAAGGGGAAGAGGATTGTAGACGTCTTTATACAGCTCAACCAAACATTGCCTGCTATAATAACAAACAGTTGGCATTCTCCACCCAAAGAATTCTGTGTAGGATACACAGCAAGCACCTGTTACTACAGCATGATTACAGTGTATAATATAATCATTGGTTATCCCAACACACAAACACATTAAGTGATAATTACATCCATATATCCCTCATTACCACTGCTATTAATGTAGATAAGACTTCAAATCTACAATCAGTAACAATTCTATCTACTCAAATATTTTTTACCTATTTTTTTTAACTGACTTGGCAGTGTATTCCATTCCCCATATTGTTGGTGCTGTATAGGACCACCAAAGACACTGTAGTATTGCTATCAACCCACAGTGAAGCTCCCCAGCTTTACCAGACATAAGTTGGCAATCTTTTTCTCCTTGTTACCCAAACAACCTTGAGTGTTGCCACTTAATATCCTCAAGTGTCCCCTCCTCTGATTATTTTGTGTTTTTATGCAAGATTTATAGATAGTGTTCTACAGCATCCATGAGCTACTTATATTGCTAAATTACCAAACTGCACAAAAATATGTGGTAACAGATATATTAGTTAAATATGAAAAACATCCAAAAGCATTACCTTTAAAAATTTTCTCCAAAGCATAAAACAAAAAATGAACTAACACCACATAAAAATGTGTGCAAGACACGAACATCCCCACTCCTATATAAACCAGCATCTGATCAGGTGAAGATCTTGATGTTGGCATACTACTGGGGTAAATATGCATCAAATATGGGTTGAGAAGTTCATAAGACACAATATTAATTTAGAATGGGATGATGTGAGGAACTAATAGGTTGCAAAGAATGGACAGATATGACTAACAGTGTATGTTCCTCATTCCCCAAACTTTCCAATAAAATGGCAAGGGCATAGAAAACACACCACATTAAAAGAAAAAGATTGATGGCAACAAAACCAACAAAACCAAAGAAAACATCAAAAAGAAAACATCTGTCTAAAGAAACATTAGAAACCAAAGAATGACAAAGACGACAAAATTTGGAGGGACACCAATCCTACACACACTGAGGAAACACCAAGACAACAAAATCTGGAGGGACACCAATCCTACACACACTGAGGAAACACCAAGACAACAATATCAGAAGGGACATCAATCCTACACACGCTGAGGAAACACCAAGACAGCAATATCAGAAGGGACACAAATCCTACACATACTGAGAAAACACCAAGACAACAATATCAGAAGGGACACCAATCCTACACACACTGAGACAACACCAAGACAACAATATCACAAGGGACATCAATCCTACACACACTGAGAAAACACCAAGACAGCAATATCTGGAGGGACACCAATCCTACACACACTGAGGAAACACCAAGACAACAATATCTGGAGGGACACCAATCCTACACACACTGAGACAACAATATCAGAAGGGATACCAATCCTACACAAACTGAGGAAACAACAAGACAGCAATATCTGGAGGGACACCAATCCTACACACACTGAGACAACAATATCAGAAGGGACACAAATCCTACACATACTGAGGAAACACCAAGACAGCAATATCTGGAGGGACACCAATCCTACACACACTGAGACAACAATATCAGAAGGGACACCAATCCTACACAAACTGAGGAAACACCAAGACAGCAATATCAGGAGGGACACCAATCCTACACACACTGAGGAAACAACAAGACAGCAATATCTGGAGGGACACCAATCCTACACACACTGAGACAACAATATCAGAAGGGACACAAATCCTACACATACTGAGGAAACACCAAGACAGCAATATCTGGAGGGACACCAATCCTACACACACTGAGACAACAATATCAGAAGGGACACCATTCCTACACAAACTGAGGAAACACCAAGACAGCAATATCAGAAGGGACACCAATCCTACACACACTGAGGAAACACCAAGACAACATTATCAGAAGGGACACCAATCCTACAAACACTGAGGAAACACCAAGGCAGCAATATCAGAAGGGACACAAATCCTACACATACTGAGGAAACACCAAGACAACAATATCAGAAGGGACACCAATCCTACACACACTGAGGAAACACCAAGACAACAATATTAGAAGGGACACCAATCCTACACACACTGAGGAAACACCAAGACAGCAATATCAGAAGGGACACAAATCCTACACATACTGAGGAAACACCAAGACAACAATATCTGGAGGAACACCAATCCTACACACACTGAGGAAACACCAAGACAGCAATGTCAGAAGGGACACAAATCCCACAGAAACATATTTCATATAAATATCTAATAAATGACCACATGCACCAATGTGTCTATACCAAGAACAGGTGTGTAGATACAACTGTTAATAGACATGTAAAACATATACAAAAGTACATGCATGTCCACATTTGTACAGTGCTTGATCTTAAAAGGAGAAAACATTTTGTTAAAAGGAAACTGTTAATTGAAAGTAAATGAACTCTACCAGTAGTACAATGGGATCCACACTGGTACAGGTCAAATCAACATTCAAACAAATTTCAAATAGTGTTAAACAGTATAAACAGATCACCTCTATTGTTAAAGGTCAACTGTTCATGGCAATAAAAACACTTCAAACGCACACATCACTGTGGCACCTAATTGTATGGTCAAGTAAAAACTGACCCCTGCCCAGTGGGTAGTACGTGGTATGGACTGACACTGACCCAAAACTTACAATAATTAATCCTGTAATCTATACTAATCCAATAATTCACTACAATAACATTGATTAATGCATGGAACTTTCCTCGTTAACTCTCCTGTACCTGGCTACTAGTAACAGAACCTCAACGATCTGATATCATGATGTACCAGAAATATCAACAATGTCATAACCCAATATCACAGAGACTGGAAATATCACCAATGTCATAACCCAATATCACAGAGACTAGAAATATCACCAATGTCATAACCCAATATCACAGAGACTAGAAATATCACCAATGTCATAACCCAATATCACAGAGACTGGAAATATCACAATGTCATAACCCAATATCATCAATGTCATAACCCAATATCACAGAGACTGGAAATATCACCAATGTCATAACCCAACATCACAGAGACTAGAAATATCACCAATGTCATAACCCAATATCACAGAGACTGGAAATATCACCAATGTCATAACCCAATATCACAGAGACTAGAAATATCACCAATGTCATAACCCAATATCACAGAGACTGGAAATATCACAATGTCATAACCCAATATCATCAATGTCATAACCCAATATCACAGAGACTGGAAATATCACCAATGTCATAACCCAACATCACAGAGACTAGAAATATCACCAATGTCATAACCCAATATCACAGAGACTGGAAATATCACCAATGTCATAACCCAATATCACAGAGACTAGAAATATCACCAATGTCATAACCCAATATCACAGAGACTGGAAATATCACAATGTCATAACCCAATATCACCAATGTCATAACCCAATATCACAGAGACTAGAAATATCACCAATGTCATAACCCAATATCACAGAGACTAGAAATATCACCAATGTCATAACCCAATATCACCAATGTCATAACCCAATATCACAGAGACTGGAAATATCACAATGTCATAACCCAATATCATCAATGTCATAACCCAATATCACAGAGACTGGAAATATCACAATGTCATAACCCAATATCACCAATGTCATAACCCAATATCACAGAGACTAGAAATATCACAATGTCATAACCCAATATCACAGAAACTAGAAATATCACCAATGTCATAACCCAATATCAGAGACTGGAAATATCACAATGCCATAACCCAATATCACAGAGACTGGAAACATCACCAATGTCATAACCCAATGTCACCAAATGACATAACCCAATATCAGAGCCTGGAAATATCACAATGTCATAACCCAATATCACAGAAACTGGAAACATCACCAATGTCATAACCCAGCATCACAGAAACTGGAAACATCATCAATGTCATAACCCAATATCACAGAGACTGGAAACATCACCAATGTCATAACCCAATGTCACCAAATGACATAACCCAATATCAGAGACTGGAAATATCACAATGTCATAACCCAATATCACAGAAACTGGAAACATCACCAATGTCATAACCCAGCATCACAGAAACTGGAAAAATCATCAATGTCATAACCCAATATCACAGAAACTGGAAACATCACCAATGTCATAACCCAATATCATCAATGACATAACCCAATATCACAGAGACTGGAAATATCACAATGTCATAACCGAATATCACAGAGACTGGAAACATCACCAATGTCATAACCCAATATCACAGAAACTGGAAACATCACCAATGTCATAACCCAATATCACCAATGTCATAACCCAATATCACAGAGACTGGAAATATCACAATGTCATAACCCAATATCACAGAGACTGGAAATATCACCAATGTCATAACCCAATATCACAGAGACTGGAAATATCACCAATGTCATAACCCAATATCACAGAGACTAGAAATATCACCAATGTCATAACCCAATATCACAGAGACTGGAAATATCACCAATGTCATAACCCAATATCAGAGACTGGAAATATCACCAATGTCATAACCCAATATCACCAATGTCATAACCCAATATCACAGAGACTAGAAATATCACCAATGTCATAACCCAATATCACAGAGACTGGAAATATCACCAATGTCATAACCCAATATCACAGAGACTGGAAATATAACCAATGTCATAACCCAATATCACCAATGTCATAACCCAATATCACAGAGACTGGAAATATCACCAATGTCATAACCCAACATCACAGAGACTAGAAATATCACCAATGTCATAACCCA